AATAATTGAAGGCCAACTATGTCGAACGTTACATTAATAATAAAATTTAAAAATAATTTGGGGCTTTTTCTTAAAAAAAAAAACTGGAATAAATCGACATTTCATTAAAATATAAATGTATTAATAAACGATAAAGACAATAATAAAAAATTGACACGTCAACCAAAATGTGATTATACCAAAAATGATCAAGTATTGTGAAAAATGTAACTTTGATGATAATTAAATAAAAGATAGATTTTTAGAGTTTGAACGGGTTAGAAAAGATACATTTTTAACGAATGCTAATAGAACACAACTACGAAGCCGGCAGATGACTCCCACTACGCGAGACATCTTTGGTACTCACTTCCCATGGGATAAAGAAAAAAACCAATGTGTTGTAAATTACTACGGCGGCACAGCACGAGATCTTCTGCCGACGTATGCCACAGCTGTGGGGGGCGGCGTCGGTGGGGGTTGAAGAGCTCAACGTCTGCACAGCACACGCACCGGCTCACAACAATATTAATAATATAACAAACTAAATTATAGGACTTCTTCGAAAGGCTACTAGTTTCGCCATTCCAATAAACTTGAGCACTTTTGTTCAACGCGAGTATAGAATATTCATTACGTGGTGTTTCATAACACTCCAAGACTCTGACTAGAGTTTTAAGAACGGCGATGACCATTTTCTTGAGATAACCACTTAGAATTAAGAAAAATATATTCTGTTTTTAAACGTGTGAAAATATAACGTATAACAATATTTAGCATGATATACATTACGTACGCAAATTATTAGTGTCATTACTATTTTAAAGGAATACTATGTAAAATTGGATTTCAAAGCATTCAAGGACGACAATATCGCTAAAGAATATCGAATTTCACAAAACGCAAGTATTTATGTATGTAAATTTAAATGCTACGACATAATATTTATAAGATATTTTAAAGCATACAATTTTTATCTACAAAAATTATACCAGTCATCTTAGTACAGGTTATCACGGACAACTGTTATTATGTAGTCGTTTATTGATCAGATCTGTGTACACCAGAGGTCGTTTATCACGAAGTTTGCTTATCTAAATTAAGTAAACCTTATTTGATAAATATTTTGAAACTAGTTACATTAATTAAAAAAAAAAAGTGAATTTAACAGATTCACTCTTTTAATAGTTGGTCAAAATATCCGTTTTTTCAAAATATCGTCTACCATTAATTAAGACATGTTAACGCCTATATAGTCAATAAAATATTTTTTACATTATTCTAATTATTAAACAATTCAAATTTTAATCATCAACAACATTAGTCGAAATATTAAAATAAGGAAATAACAATTGAAAAAAAATCAATTAATTTGTCTCTGGACACACAAAGTTTCCATAGTTTTATTTATATAAAATATATATTTGAACTAATCTAATAATCTAGAAAGTTACTATTACATACGTTACTTGTTGGCGAGAGCTCAGACGATTCGACCAAAATAATCCTTATCGGCTTTAAATTTATTTTTACACTTTTATACGTTAAGATGAATATAAAACCACAAAATGCTTTATTTTTATTCTTATCAGTATTCAATAAAATATATAAATAGACCTACCCTTCAACGGTCTATTAGTTACCTTATTACAAATTTAGACAGTTCCAAACAATAAATTAAATATAACTATTATTGTTAATCATTGTGCATAGTAATATACTAATAAACATGTTATATTTTCATACCAATAGCTAGCAAAACACTGTTATATTTGATAAAATCTCAATGAACATTCATAAAACACAAAAGGTTTACAAAAATTCTACAATTCAATAGAATATTCTAGGAAAGTATAATTTTGTTTATATAAACGAAAAAACTTTCAAATGTAAAAATTCCGTAACACTTGTTAAAATTCAATAAGAAAAACATTCATTCTGGTTTAAGTTAGAAAATAAACAATTGTTTTTATTTTATCGCATTGATTGAAGTATTTTTTTTTTTTTTGGGATGTGTGTGGCCGAGTGAAGAATAATCGTCGCTACCGAGGAATCTCAATTAAAAATCGTGTGGAAGTATAATGGTTGATAATGTTGATTGTTACTAGATGATCGTGTGTTCTAAAAAGACCGACAAAACCCGTAGAGCGACCGAAATTTTTACTTTGCATAAATAAATACAATGCGTACATTTTACTGATCTTAACATCAAAGAAATGCTATAAAGATATTATCGGACAACAGAGTATAACTAGTGAGGAGCTAGCTGGCATTCCTCTGAAAGGATTACAAAAATTGCGGTTTAAATCCGGCCTCATACACAACCATCAAATTAAAATGAATAATTGATTTAATAAATATCGCAATAGAGTTAAATCAATTGAAAATTATGTACTAGACTATTAATATTGTATTGTATTAAAATGTTAGTCAAACATTAAGGTTTTCTCGGAACTTTTAACAAAACTTCTTAATATATAACTACCAACTTTTATAAATCGTAAACACTTAATGAATTCTCAGAAAAATTCATTAAAACTTCACTCGCGTAATATATAATTTAGTTTCATATAGACAAAGTATAATTCCAAGTATTTGACTAATAATCCCATTAAGGCAAGCTCATTGGTAAGAACATGAGAAAACAAAATCAAAATATGGCTCACAATTAACTCACGATATATATTTGGGTCAATATTAATTCCACTTTTATTAGAAAATTCTCATGAATTATGATTCGAGAAAAATGTTGAAGTGTAAAAAATACAACCACAGCTTAAAGTCAAAATAATATTACATACAATATCACGAAAGCGAGGAATCGTAAACAGTACAACAACGATAAAATTAAGATAGACGGCTGGACCCATGACATATTTGAGTACATAAATTTTATTTTCAAGTTCTGGCTTCAACAGATTGGTCAAAGTCTGGTATAGGTCAGACAAGATGAACCTAGACCCCGATAGGTTCTACGTATATAAGCGTAGGCAGAGTCTACTTCGTATGTCAATACCAGCTTAGGTCATAAGTATTGCGATTATAAAATCAATATAAGCAGCAGATTACACAAAATTATTTGAATACTAATGACTTTTCCTCATTTGAAATATAAAAACGGGAATCTTATTAATTTTACTAGTACAACCAGTGCAGGAATTTCATAAATGTATGTCTAATGTAAATATTTTGTTTACAGCTAGATGATAAAGGAAAAAAATATGGATGAAAATGACTTATGCCTGAATAAAATTCATTTAAGATTGTAAAAAACCTGTTTTATACAGAACACGGTTACAGTAGGTTTTGATATTATCTTGACGTGGGGTATATATTTTTCTATTTTTTTTTTTTTTTTTTGTTTTGATATTATCTTGACGTGGGGTATATATTTTTCTATTTTTTTTTTTTTTTGTGTCCCTTTGGGTCATCACTTGTTTGCTCATCGACGATAACGCCGCCAACTATATGACATACATATATATCTATATACAATTTTATTGTTTACTTCGGCATACAGAGTGCAGTGCAGAGAAGACGACCTTTACATATTTGAATTAGATTAGAGTGATGCATTCAGAAACGGAATGTTAACAACCGGCAGTTTAGTAGTGTATACCGCAGGCATCAACACTTTAACTAGATGTAGACAACTCTGTCATTGCAAAACATATACACGATTAATACTTTGTAGTGACTTAACAACTAACAAAAGACACGAAATTAATTAATCAAATTAACAAAACTTTTCAAACAAAATACGTATTTTAATTAACACGAACCTACCTGTTTTTAATCATCCAATTTATTCAATGTTTACAGAATTTAAAAAAAACCGAAGAAAATAATAATCAATTGGCAGCTGATATTGGCACTCTGCGTGCGAGACTGTGATATAATTTACAATAAGTCTAGTCATGTACCACGTTAGTTTTAATAAAACTCAAATGCAGTAAGACGGTTAAAAAACACGGCCCTTGGGTAGCCAGATGTGACGCGCTCCTCGCTCCCTCCACATTTTCCTTAATGGTACTGTGCTAATTCTAATTTCATGTGTATCTCTACTTTAGGGAGAGCTACACATAATAAAGTACAAACGATTGCAATCAAACGCTTATTATATTGTCACTACAGATTACAAATTTCTATCTACCCACAATAACAACAATTTTGTACACGAAGTATAGGAAAAATCTGGAAGGTCTCAAAAAACACTGCACATTTTTTTTGGCTTCAGCCGTTATTGTATATTGCGCTATACAATAACATAATTTGCATTCATTTAAAATAATATCGGAAAAAAAAGAAGGGAATATTAATATAATCATGTCAATTACGCGTGATTAAAAACGAATATCAAAAGGCCTCTTCTAAAAGAGGGCTACAAAAAAAACAGCGGTTCGCGACAATCGAGGGACTGCGTATATCGAGAATAATTAGCACTTCACCTGTCCAAGACAGAGTGATATCATCGCTGCATGAGTTATGCGAGTTACACATTAGTATTAAAATAATGATGATATAATGCACAGTAGTGTAAAGGTTGTTAATTTTACGGTCAGTCTTTATGGGCCTCAACGACAGTGGAGGTGAGGTGTTAAGATAGGACGAGGAGAAGGGATAAATCTTTTTCCGTGCATCACGTTATTAAAGGGTAGGCGGCCGTGGAATATACAATATATTATTATACACACAGTTCATACGATGCCCACAACACGCCGTATGTATACTGTAGGTACGCAGCACACATGACTCATGGACCACACCCTATACACGACGCTTTTTGTGCGCCCGCATGTGTTGTGGACGCACAGTATACCGTAAGTGAACACTGCACAGTGCAATGTGTACAAGTATACGATAGAAAAATAATAACAATCCTGTCAACTTAAATGAAATGATTAAAAACTGAAAACGCGTTGACAAGATTCTTCAGATTCAGCGAATAAACTCTGTGTAAATTTTATTGAATATTAAAAATACTGAAATGCTTTCAATAAGTAAAAAAATTAACTACTCACTGTTTACATCCGTTGTGGTCTGGAGAACAGGACCAATCTGCCCCGTTCGCATTTTGAATGCCGCTCCTTGTGTCATTAGCTCTGTTGTGTTGCCGGAAGCTATAAAAAACAAAATAAAAGTATTCCTTATTGGTTATTTTTAATCCAAAAAGACAAAACTAACTCATTCATGTAGATTTTTAATTTATCTACAACTAACATTAAGTCAATATAAATAATTCATTTCAGACTTCATTTTGAATTATTAAAATGTTTAAAATTAATACAAATTATTATACTTTGTATAATCATATAGAAACACATAAGGAAAATAAATCAACAACATTATAGAGTAAATATTCCGAAGGGTTACTGGCAACAATACAATTGAAAAACGATCAATTTTTCAGGAGCTGAATTAATATATTATTAAACAATTATTAATTTTTTAATTTATTTATGTATTTTTTTTTTTATGAGAAGTTATTTAGGATATTTTATGAAAATATAAAAAATTGTTTTTTTTCTTTAACATATGTGTAATTGACGTCTTTTGATTCTAAATTAGAACCATGTTATCCCTAACATAATACTTTAATATAAAATATAGTTAATTATATTCTTTATAAAAATATGAATTCAGTGATACCAAAATGACAGTTATGACTTGTGGCCAAATCAGTATCAAAATATTAAACAGGAAATGTAACCCTTTAATTTTATTCTTAATCGAATGTAATTACTACCATGCATTTATATAATAAAAAAATTAATTTATATATTTTTTTTAATATAAAATAAGGCGATAAAATTTCAGTAGTTTACCGGACTAACATTGTTTATTACCATAATGACATAAAATATATAAGCAAATTAACACTAAGCTTAGCGGTACCAGACTACTAAGGTTTTCAGAAATATTTCATAAAAGAAATTCTAACTTAATAAAGTTACATTCATTTGAACTTGATAAATTCATTTTAATAACAATACATTCATACATATAATTGAATAATGTTGTTACCTTTTATCTAAAAATTAATATTTAGATAAAATTAATGTTTCAGATTATTCAACTAAGAGAGCAGATAAATTACAATAACATTTTACCGGAAACGATTTAAAATAAGAAAACTTCATAATAATTAAAATATCAGTAATTTCAAGACCAAAAATGAGATTGAAAAATGTATGCCAATTTGATTAATAAGAATAATTTTGTAAAAAAGAAAACAGGATTTTCCCATGATGAAAGTTTTAATGTTAAAAGCTATTTTTCTACTTGACTAATCAAATAACTGGTTTAATATAAAATAGTCGTTAACAGCCAATGTATGTAGGACTTTATTAAATCAGTAATACATTAGTGGGCGCATAAAATTAAATGAATTATTTAAAATAAGTAACATACACACACAGATATAAACTGTAAAAACTCTTCACAAACTATTTTATAAATTAATATATTTTCGTAAAAAAAGATATATTTATCAAATGTCTTATTATTTGAATATTTTATAGCTCTTTAGTACTGAACTGAAAAAAATATATTGATATTTAATAATAATTATTTTATTATATATTATTAATGACTCATAAAATAGAAATATATAATTTATGTAATTGTCTACAACACGTATATAAGTAACTATATTAACATTCAATAAAAATTTGGTTTTTTAGCTAAACGTTTTAAAGTATTACATGAGGTTTAATGTAGTAGGTTGGTAAGTTGAACACATAGTAAACTTACCAAACCAGACGTAGAAGTCTTAATTTACAAGATATTAATTGAGTTCCAATAACAGACAGTAAATAAATATTTTAAAATGCATTATTACTTGATTTTTCATTTGTTATTTCATAACATAGTACATCGATTTCAAATAAAACAAGTTGACGGACAAATACATTTAAGATGTAATAAGAAATAATACGATATTTCAAAACTCTTAACCTGATTCTTTTTCCCTAATCATGAATATCTAAAAAAGTTTTAAAATGTCCATTTACATTTATATTAAAAATACATTGCGAATAGCTTCCTCTAATTAATTAAAGCCCATGGACTGGGTGTAAATACTATATATTCCTTTAAACGGGAGAGCTATACAACAAACATTATTACTATAAAGAAATGTATGTCTAAATAACAATTATTTTAGAGAGGAATTAATTTCTTTCTTGGTACAGAGTATATATATGTTGATAAAATTTTAATTGACCAATCGCAAAGTAGTGATAACAATATAAATTAACCGCATACTAGCTTTAATCACTTAATTTTAAATATAACAGCTGTTCCAACTTATATAAAAGAGTAAAATTATAACACAAAATCTTAAGTATATTCTTTGCAAATATACTTATTAAAAACTATTTTCTGAGAAATTGTTCAAATAACGTTAAAATATGAATAAAATAATTTCTTAACATTTTAAAGTAACTTTATGCTGTAACTAAAAATAAAAACCCTTACATTACGGGAATAATAATAAAAAGAACCATAATAGGTCACTAATTCAAGTGGATATCAAATGATAATATTAATAACAAAAGCTATTTAACATTTGACCTCGATAAAATCACATTTACAAAAGGACGCACTTATTTTGTATATTTTCATAGAATACTTCACAGATTCCACAGGATTTCTGCCTAAAGATATTTTACTAAATTGTTAAATTTTAATGTTAATCATTATTATTGACCCAACCTATACCACTATAATAATTACAATTAACGTCAAGCTGCTAATTTACTCAGAAATAAAAAATTGTTTTATTAAGTTAATTAAAATGAAAGAAATTATATTCATGTGTAATATTCAAGCAAAATGACAGACAGACCGCTGAAAATTTTAACATATTAACGAATGGTCGATGGATTTTAGATAAACTGCTAGTGATAAGATATACATGAAAAAACCGTATAAAACCGGCGTCACTTATGTAATGATATATTTTGTTTGAATGACCAAGTTAAAAACGGAAAAATTAATCTTTGGAGAATTTAACAGGTATATTTATTTAAAAGTTAATAATAAACAAACACAATATAACTCCCAAAATTTATAATATTAACATATACCGAGTACTATATAAAAATTTTGCCAAAGCAAAAAAACTTAAAATATTTATAGATATAGGGGAGATAAACTAGCATATGAAATCGTATTGGTGTATCTAAACAAGTATAAGCAATAGCGAGCGAAGGCAAAAAAAAACTAGTACACAGTCGTATTTACGTAACACGTAGTAGTAAGCAGCCAACTCGTTCGGTATGAAAACCACGTAGTACAAAATAATATTAAAAATTGGTAATAACTATTGAAATTTCATTATAACTTAATTTATAAGAAAAAAATAGAAAAATTTAAAGTAAGATAAGTGAAAAAATACAATACCACAAAAGAAGAACGCCATCACTTCTGGATGTAGAATGTCGTTAGAAACGTACTTTAAAAATCAGTCAATGGCTCATTATAGCCGCTCTGAGGTCATTGATAACTGTTATCATGGTAGCTAACTGTTTAACCAGATTTAAACCTTAATTTAATACAAATATACATTAAACATTACTTATCTTAACGTCAAAAAAACACTAACAGAAAAAATTATAAAATGAAAGACGGTAGAAAAGCGACCGAATAACAAGAACACGCAACACGAAACGAACGAAGGTTCACTTCTAACTGACTTGCTCAAAAGACAATGGGTAGGCGGCGGGCGGACGGACGGCAAACGAAGTGACGATAAACAACGATTCAAACCGAACTAAGCCGATGGTCGTCGAGTGTTAAACAGGCGGGCATCACAGGCGCCGCCTAATGCAGGCGTGGTTATGTCCAGCCATTCGTTCTAAACTTGGCACATCGATCGTCGCGTTCTAATGACCGCGCCCGTCATAGCCGTTGCTGATTACGTCTACTTGATAATACTATCCTAAACATTGAGTAGTCGTCAAGGAAGAGAATGTGTGTTAATAATATTGGCTTAGTCAAATGAGATACCAAGTACGTCTGTCCATAAACCCACGAAATGTTACTACGTATGTATCGTTTTATGGACACTCAAATGTTGATAAATCAACAGAACTCGACATCAGGTACCTAACTGCTGATAATTCTAGTAAAACCATTGTTATGATCCCGTTATCAAGTGTTGGTCAAGTACCAACTATAAATTAGTCACCTTTCATAAGGTCCTTCATAGAATAACTAGAGGTTTTCTACGATGGTCTCAAATTCGCAGAATTTACAACGATAATAAATCGTTACATGGTTCCTATTACTTGATTGGAAATTCAGCTAGTTATATTTAACAAAACGATGATTTTTATTATACGAATGGCTATTCAAATACCAAAATATTCTACTGCGAAAAATTCGATTTTTCAATAAAGCATTTATAAAATTTAAGAGACAGCTGAGTTGGTTATGAGGCAACGTCAGAAAAAAGTTAAAGAAATGTGATAATATTTACAAACATTTAATCGAATAACACAATATCAAATATATCTTACTACGTTAATAATTTTATAGAACAAAAATTTGAGTTACAAGTAAAAAAATATTACTAACCTAGAAATTATAAAAAGTTGAAAAGTAATATGAAAATTAGATTAAATTTTAATAAATTCAAATTTAATTTAATTTAATTGTGGCTAAGTTTTAATAGTAAACTCGGTAAATTAAAATTTAATTTAAAAATTAATATTAACTTTTTAACTCATCGAGTCTGATCTTAGACGCAAGTCTAAAATTTTAAACTTGTAAAAAACATTTAAAAAAATATTACCATTAATGTGTTGCGTTGAAATTAAGTTAGCTAAATGAATGTATTATATGAAATAAATCAAGTTAAATACAAAAAAAAATAAAAATTACCTTAATGTAACTCAAGATAAAGCGGTTAAATGCTCTGGACCTGCGTTTTTATACAATATATGATTTTCTGCAATATATACGAGTACAAATTATTACGATTAGTTCGCTCCTAGAATCTTCATTACACACCGAATACATGTTTATCTTTTTATACAATAAAATATCCTCCGGTATAATCAACAAAAGCTTTATAAAATACGTTCAATAAACTTCTTGTTAAATAGATCATTTGATAATTTCAGCATTATTTTTGTTATAAGAATAAAAAGTTAATCAAATTAACAAGTATTTTATTAAATCAAATAAAAAAAAATGGTTTAGCTAATAAAAAAAAATATCTCCTATAGATATATTGAAAAACATTTGTTGACTTCACCAGGGAGCTTTTTCAATATGTACATGTGTTATTTTAAAATTTGTTTTAAAAAGTTTGTTCGGAAAACATTTGTAATTATTGAGTTTTTCATTTATTAAATATTTTCAAAAATTATGCATATTTCTGTTTATGAAAAACATTTCTTTAAAATTTCGTTTTTCAAATTTTGTAACTGACTTCATTCTTTAATAATTGGGTCAGTTGGTACAATCTATTTAAATATATTATATAATTATTACCCATAAAAATAATTAGTATAATTTATTCCATTTAGAAATGAAAATTATAGAGTCTAAGAAAGATTGTTCACATTCTCTCTTTGACATTTTACATTTATTTATAGATCTATAAATAAATGTAAAATAGTCGTAAGTGAGATATTTTTCAAAAAGAATACGATATATTTTTTATGATTTTATCAAAAAAAAATTATTTTATTTTAGTACAATTCTAAATAGAATACCAATCGCAATTATTGAACACTACCTTAAATTATAAAAAATGAAAACAAAGTCATTTATTGTGTTTAAGTTACTTAGTGAAAAGCCTACAATAAGTTACCAATTAAGTTAACGTGAACTAAATAGATAAATTTAAAATTTATAACTTAACTTATTAACTGAACTTTTAACACGTTAGCACAGAACTTTGCTATATAACATAGAATTATGACAGATGAGTCTTACAAGTACATCCGGGGTAGGAGGGGGCGATTGCATTTAGTGCTATTGACCTTCTTTTTTCTTATCGCATTTATTTCATCTCTATTAATATAGTAAGAGTAACATCGAAAGGATATATAGATATTTGATGATCGCAAATGATTTAATACGATGATATATGGTTTATCATGTAAGTTAAATGAATAATATTTTAAATGAAATATATATAGCTGCATTTTCAGAAGGTGATTGTTCATGATTACGATTTTAGGTTGCCCCCTAAAATACGCCCCTAAGTTATAATGAACCAGTCATTTTAATGTGTAAAGAAATACGTTTTATTTATTTTTTATTTTATTTACTTCCTAAAAAAATACGAATGTATTTTTTAATATATGATCTCCGATCTCTGTTGAATAATTAATAAAGTATATTTTTGAAAAAACCAACAATTGATAACAGTAAAAAGATCAGCTGTAGCTAATTTATGTCGGACAACATATTGAAATACAGGGTTATCCCTAAAGGAATCGTAGACGATGATACCCCCCATTTGTCAATATTTATTTATTTTAGTCGCCAATTATTCAATAAATGCGTACTTAAAAAAAATGTCCCAATTTTCACATACATGGACTGGAAATTTTAACATACAATGTTTGATAAATAGTAATAAAAATGTTATAACTATGCAGAAATTTTTGCTACTTATGTTAAAATTACACCACTTGTCTGTAAAAGTAATGTGTATATTAAAAGTATTACAATGACGTATGGAAATCATTGAATCATTTCTTACAGTATAATACAAAATACGTAAAACTAATAATTAAAAAAAAACATTCAGTCAGTTATCCAAATCTAAAATATAAATTTATTTGAAAATTTTAGAATTTATAATTTTTTAGATTTGGTTTAATAATTATAAATCAATATTTTTACAATTAGTAGTAAAAATTTGACAAAGCTTTCAATAATTCAGAAAACCGAATTTTTCTTTTAAATTAATTATTTATGTGGTAATGTATAAGTAATTAAAAAATGTAATCGTATATGTAGTCTCCTATATTTTTTGATGTTAAAATCAACGGTGTTCTTAAAATTTGTATACCATGATTATTTTCCTATTGTTTATATAACATTATGGTTAATTTAGATATTTTACTATTTTCATGAGCTAAATAGTACTATTAAAATGAAATATATTATGTATTTAAGGTATACATAGTAATTTCTACTAACTACTTAAAAAATAATGTGAAATTTCAACGTTTCATGTATTTTTTAAAAATCTGTTGTTTCCTCTTTTTTGCACACCGAGTTAAATTAAACTTCGTATATGAAAATCATGGAAAATTTTGTTTAAAATTACAACTATAAATATAACTTAAATTATACAGAAATACGTACAATAATTTTTTATGTATCTTTGTTGAATTATATACCACATAGTTAAAATGTGTGTCATTTCTAATGTGATTTAAATGAGTTTTAAAAGATCAAAGAAGGACTGTAGCCCCCTCGGGTTATACATGTCCTACGCTACGATCAGTATTAAAGAATAAGTGTCTTTCCACTAATTTCATGAAACTACTTACTTATTGACACTTAATTTTTTCATATTTTATTTTAAAATTACATTTAAAAAGTTCATGGTATTATTTAAACAAAATGTATAGTTCTTATACTATGTATGTACAATAATATCAGTTATTCATTAAATTTAATTATAGTGGTTGATAAAATTTAACTTAAAGGAAACTAAGCATGCCGAAAAAAAACTTTAAAATAGATTGCGAGTTTGTTGATTTACTTTGAAAAGGTTTTGAAATTACTTAAATAGGATTTTCACTATTAATCTATTTGCGTACTTTTTTTATAATGTACTGTTTTTTACCATTGAACAAAATTAGTACACCATGTACGCTATATAAACTTTTTCACTTGTATTCTGGTTATTATTAGCTATCGGCATAAATATAGAAGGTTATAGTGTAATTATGTAACAGCTTTAAAAGTATTAAACATAATATAGATTTTTTATTTTATTTTTATTCAAAAGTATCCTAGGTTTTATAATTCTTAAAAGAAGTTTGGTTTTATCCTTCCTATCTCTACATTAATTGTTGTTAACAATGAATTCACAAGAGTTATTAGTTAGTTGCACAATACTTCTTTACGGAAATAGTTGTATTTAAGTGCTCTGTCGTACTTTGTGGACGCTTGAAATATCACAAAGTTACTCATTAATATAATAATAATATTATTACATTAATCATCGATGTAATAATAATATTATTATATTGTGATGATTGCGCAGGGCGCCCTCTCTCGCTTGTTTTTGATCTTTAATTTTGTGCCGCTGTTTGTTGTCCGTTACCCATTCAGTATCATTGGCAACGACGCGTTGCAAGTACGCCAATTTCGTACGCTAGCGACAGGTGTTTTTCGGCGCTCCGAGTTCGTACTTTCTACGACTATAATTCGTCCAAACCTGTTGTGAGTATAGTTACTTTTTTACTAATATACGAGTGTTAATATAATATGTTAATATTATTAAAATATATCTTAATCCACAATCAATTATGGACAAGTCAAGTGTATTACTACACGGAAATGGTTCGTTCAGCCAACACGATAACGTTCACCAGTGAACACTGTGTAGATACTAAACTTGTGTGAACAGCGCGTGATGGTCCGTTGCTAATATCATAATGGTGGGGTTTAACACTGGTTGGTTGGGGTGAAGGGAATCAGCTGATCGTAGTGCAATGCTCTGTCGGTCGGTCGGTCAACGTTTCTCTTCGCAAAATAGAAATTTTGATTACGTGAATCAGATTTTATATTCTATATAATTAAATAAATTAACACTTTACACGTGTAAAAATCTTACTGAATCTTTTTTTTAGTATTAGGATGCTTAATTTCAGTGTTAATCGATGAATTTAATTTATCACAATGTATATTGTTAAAAAAAAAAAATAGTAATTTTAATTATCCAACTATTTATGAATTTTAATTTATATCATGAAAATAGTAAATAAAAAATTAAATTAAATAAAAAATATCAATTGGTCTCCTAAACTCCTTCGATTAATTTATTAATCGACATTCGAGTATACTAAATTATAGATATCGATTTACGAATTGTACGTGGCTATTATATTTTATTAACAGCATATTCAACAATTTAAAAATACTTCACCACTTTTTTACAATTAAATAATTTTATGTAAAAATAAACCTCTATCTCTGCTCTACATAAGTATATAAAGTTGTTCATCAGCTTAAAATTAAATAACATTTATTTATTTTGAAACATAAGTATCAATAAATATAAACTTTGGTGTCGTCTTAAAGAATATTATTAGTATATTTAATTCTAAAACATGATTATTATTAGTATTATAAATTGCTTTTGTTAAGTATTAATAAGTATTTATTATAATAATTTAATAACTATCCAATTTAAGACAGAAAAAATTTCACATAAATATATTTACCTATTAAGTTTTAAATATATTATACACGGATCAAGTCAGGTTATAATAGAAAATGTTAGATGTAACCTTTTTTTTATAAGTATCACTTGAAAGTGATTGATTTGTCACTTGAAATCAAGTTTAATTTTAAAAGATATTTTTTTTTTCAAAGATTTTAAACATTTCACAATAGTAGGTCATTTTTTTTTTTTTTTATTGACCGAAAATTCAACGATAGCTAATTTTAAACAATTATTTAGCGATATAAAAATACTTAAACAATTAGATTTATTTAATGGTATGAAATAAATGCTTTAAAAGGCTCATTATAAATTTAATGCCGTTTACCAGTTTTAAGTATTCAAATTCTTTTAAAAGTTATAATTTTAATGAGTAGTGGTAGTTAATGTCATAGAATATTTTCCCGGAAGTAACAAACAAATCATTATATATTTTTGGAGGAAAAATATTCAATAACCTAATTTGAATTTGAAAAATCAAAAATATATATTATAATAAAAAATTATTTAAATTAGTATTAACGTTTTCTTGATAATCAAAACAATTTTAATTCTATAATCTGATTTTTAATTAGGTGAAATTTCTTAACATTGCACAATCAAATGTAAACGTGTTATTGCTTAATGATCAAATCAAAATAACAATAAGATAAAATAAAAATATGTTGGACTAGGGTTATCAGCATTTTTGATTTGCCATGTTATTTTAAAATCCGATTTTGGCAGTTTACATAGTATAAACCAGCACACTTTATCTCGTTTAATAACTTTAACTAACTTAACTTCCTAGTTTACAAATAAACCTATACCTTTTAGGCTAGAAAACGTAACCCTCCCTGTCCCAAAACTTATGCGTCAACCTAAGTTATTTACTGAAAATGGTTTTTCAGAAAAATTATGATCAAGGAAAAAAGGTCATAATAAAAAAATTTATGTTTACTTATAACAAATATCTATTTAAATTTAATAAAAATGTCCAACCCTCCGCCCTAAAAAAAAGTTATATACGTGCCTACTACACCATTAATTACACCCAAAGAAAAACCTCAATCAAAATTGAAAGAGAAATTTTATCAAGGGTTTATGATAATGTTTTATTAATACGAACAAAATAACTATTCTTATAAATAATTATTGTTCAAGACAAGAAAAAAAAATATCATATTGATAAATATATCATTGATTCAATAGTAATGATATATTTATCAAATTGAACAATGAATTTATTATATAGATCGAGGTTTTTCTCTGGGTGTACGATATAATATCAATTAATATACCTACATAACACAACATATACCTGAACATTAATAACTCTATTATTAATATTAACTATATGAAATTAACCTAGAAATAACACAATAAATTTTATTTCTGCTATCCGTGACCCGACGGCACAAAGCCAACATGCCTCCCCTTAAATAACGTTTCTGATATTTAGAATTTTGTTAGTATCAGTTGCTGCAGAGTTTATTTTTCATCGACCAATAGCTCATATTCAAATAAAAAGATTTAATCTAGGATTGTATATTTTGCATTAGTTTTCTGTTAGTAACACAAAAAATCTCACGAGATGAAACGAGACCTCCCTCCTGGCCACCTCCAAGCACCACTGGTGTTATTTAATATTTTAACTATTAATTAGAAATTAATTTTAGTACACATTATGATAACTCTATTTCAACTTTCAATTAAATTATTTAGACATTAATTATTAACTATTGTTTTTAGGTTTAAATCGTCTTTGATGGAGTCGTTATCTTCACATAAGGCAACAATCGATTGGATTGAAGTCAATGGAGTTGCCACTCGAGTGTTGTGTTGTGGTCAAAGAATTACCGAAACTGGAAAGAAACCAGATAAATTGGTTTTGTTTATATGCGGAAATCCTGGCGTTACGTTATTCTATAAACGATTTTTAGAAAAACTGTACAGAACTACTGGAATTACATGTTGGGTTTTGTCCCATGCTGGTATATGCTCAACTTTTTAGTTAATTGTATTATACTTGGTTAGATTTATGAAAAATAAAACTCAATTTCACTCCTCGTTTTCTTAAATATTCTTGTTCATTTTTATTTAATGGGAAATAGTATATTGTCCAACAATTTTTCAAATACAAATATTTTAAAGAAAGGTAAGTTGCCCTATATTGCGACAAAATCCTTATAATATTATATTTTGGGATATTATTATACAACTAATAAACTTTGTGATACTTTTCCGTGAATTAAGAAATATTATTTTGTTTTTATAAAATAGTACAACATAATAACAGTAGTATTTTGTTTATAAATGTAAAATAATAAAAATTGAAATTAAAAAAATATACACTATTAATTTTATAAAATTAATTTAAGTCTTTTAATGTGACATAACTTAAAAATTCTTATAACAAAAAGAACCAGAACAGTGGGAACAGACAGATGATAACTGAGTGATTAACATCATTAATACCAAAAATCGCTTCGATTTTAAATCTGCTCAACTTCACAATAATTTGTAAAGTGATGAATTTTTACAGAACATTTTGCGAATTTCAGCTTGAAAGTCAATTACCTCATAGAAAAAATATTGTAAATTTTTCTTTGTTTTGTCCATCCTAAAGTACTCTTAAAATTCTTTAATTTGATATAGATTAGATTAACAAAGTCGTCCCGGAACATTTTTTAAAATCAAAAATTATGTAAATTTTACAAACTACTTTTTTTTGTTTTGTCGCCAATTATTTTATAAAAGAACAAATATGAGATAGATTTTTTAGCTTCGGTGCGAATCGAATTAATTTTACTATGATATGTTTTTTTTTTGTGTCTATTACCACTTTTTCTCAGTTCTCACCGAGCCGATTTCTTTCAACGATACATCAAAAGATCACAAATTGTATCTAATTGAAGATATTACCCTCAAAAATTGAAAAAATTCCCCTCGATCTCCGTAAATGGGGGAAATATATGTTTGATATAATAAATTGGAACTTAAAAGTGATAAATTTATTGATTTTAAATATACAAGTGTACTTTGTAAAACATAGTATTATAAAATTTAAATAAGTAACTACTAAGTTCCGGTTTATTTAAAAATATTTTATAACTTACTTTTGTATTTAAAAGTAAGTGTTAATTTAAAAAAAATAAAATTAATTACATACTATAAAATCACTAATCAAATGAAATAATCATATTTTTTTTATACAATCTAAATTAATAAAAATATTGTTATGTATATAAATAATGTAAATCAGACAATGGTAAAAACTACTACAGATAAAATGGCTAAAGCAGAATGACTAATGTAGAAAATGATCATTATAACCAGTTACCTTTGGCTTAAAAATATGAATCTTTTTTTTCTGCTATCTACCTTTTAATTTTAGCTTCGATGCGAAGCTGAGAAGGTATTAGTTTTACTATAATGTGTTTTTTTTGTGTCTGTTACCTCTTTTTCTCAGATCTCACCGAACCGATTTCTTTCATCGATACGTCAAAAGATCACAAATTGTATCTAATCGAAGATATTACCCTCAAAAATTGAATATATCTCCCTCGTTCCCCGTATATGGGGGAAATCTTTAAAAAAAATCTTAACTTAAATGAAAAAGTGGTCAATAACAACTTTTGAACCAATACTTAGAAAAATTATTGACATTTTTATTATTAGACGGAAGAAAAATTGCGGCCAATTTTTAAAATCACAAAATCCTGAAAGACGATAAATTGCTGTACAATAAGTTAAAAAGTAGAACCTTTAAACTTTTTTTTAGCTCAAGTGTTAAATTGTTATCGTTAAATAGAAGATTTTATGAGATATATTTTAGATTGATATATATTCAGAAACTTTTATAATTACTATTAATAGTACATTTACGAAGAAAAGATTAATAATAGTGTTTTATTATAGTGATTTTTAAGATTCTTGACCCAGTTATGGCACGTTTTCACTGTGCCGCGACCCAACTGTGCTGGTTTTTTTTTTTAATATTGCAGTACATTTTAAAAGATTTCATTTTTTATAGGTTAAAAAACGCAGTCGTTTCGAAATATTGATACAAATTTACATATTTGTGATGTCTCTTTCAAACCCTTTCCGTTCTTAGGTTTTTCATTAAATATTTTATAAAAAGGACACCCAATAAATCATATTGTCTCTTATATACTCTGTTAAAATTTCACAAGGATCAGTGTTTTTTTTTTTGAAAATTTAAAAATGCAGAAAAACATTTTTTACATTTTAATTTTTGCTACGACCTTCTGATTGTGTTCACTATTTTGATTAAAAATATTATATTTTTTAAAAAAGGGTCTATCTGTACGAATTTTTCATACACGTTAATATAAAAAAACAATGAATTATACTATGTATATACTACAAACATAAAGCATAAAGTTACTGAAGTATAGTTTTACACTAGACTACTAATTAGTAATAAGCACAACCCTCAGATAAAATAATATAAACATACAATATCAATTTGGTCACAAACTTATAGTGACTTATGAATACTTAAATACTTTTACAATGTGACTTTTCTATGTATTAAAGATTTTTTATTTTTCCTTATTATCTAGTTCAATATACTGCTTATATAAGAATATATCGGAGTATTTTTTTTAATTACGTTTTGATAAAAGCTACGTTTTTTTAGGATTATTTTATTGCTTATAGGAAAAAAACAGAAAATTCCCGTGCACTAAGTAATATGTCAAGGTTGTTAGACAATTAATTTCTTACTGAGAAAAAATTTAAATAATAGTTAAATAGTACTAATATTTGTTGTTTAATATTTTGAAGAAACACTTGCTGAATGTTTAAATAGAAATGTGTAAAATATATCAAAATTAAAAACCTATTTTAGTCACATTCTTGGGTAGTTAAAAAAAAAATACAGACAAGATTTTATGAGATTTATAATTTTAATGAAATAGAATGTGTTGTAAAAAAAAATTTTGTGAGATTTTTTTTATCTCTAAAACTTAGAATATTTAATAAGAGTGTATCTATAAACTAAGTTGAACATTTGATACAATTATTGTGTAAAAATATGTATTTAAAGACTATATAACAATGTAAATTTTCAATGTAGAACCGGCTATTATTTTTAATATTAACATATAAAGAATATTTATTTTACATTGTGTTTTCTTTGCCTACTTATTGCTTAGGATTTGTTCGTATTTTTCAGATAACAAATACTTATGAATTCTATAGGGTTAAAATAAAAATGACAATTACTAGCGCCGTGTTACTTATAAATTCAAATGTATGAAAATCAAATTTATACTTACAGTAGTTTTGCTCCTGTTTTTTTTATTTAATTACATTTCTTAAAATTACCACACATGATACTTTTGAGGAATTTCATATACAGGTGGTTTCTAATATTTATTTGTATGCAATATAAATTTTTTAGATGCAGAGAAATCGGCACCACTGTTATTAATTAAATTAATCTTTTATAGGTCACGAAACTCCACCAAAAAACTCAGGATTCTATATTCCTAATCTTAAAACTCATCCAGAATTATATACCGTAAAAGGCCAAGTAGAACATAAGCTAAAATTCGTTGAGAAGTACGTGCCGGACAAATGTAATGTTTATTTTGGAGGTCATTCTATAGGTTCTAAAGTTATATCCGAAATGCTTAAGGACACAATAATGATTTCTAGAATTAATGTAAAAAAAGTTCTATTCTTTTTCCCAGCCTTGCAAAAAATGCGTGAAACACCTAATGGTCAAAAATTAATAAGAACCACTACTTACCTTTTAAGTACAATTTTGTTCTTTTCTTGGGTAAGATATATTCTATTACAATATAAATAGTCTTGATTATAATTTGGTTATTGCAATAAAATTGTTTAATAACAATTAATTTCATAGGCGTAACTTAAGCAACCCTCCAAAAATTTGTTTTTAGTATTACATTTGTTTTTCAAGAAAAACTCAATTTTATTTGCACCTAATATCAGTTTATATTAAACAATATTAATTAAATTCTGTGATCAACATACATAAGTATTTAAAAAGTCATTAATAATTGATAGCAAAATTATTAATTTCATAATGGCAAATTTAAATACAATGTAATAATTTGAATAATAATCATCAGCATTCCATTAATTAAGGTATAAAAACATAACATTTTTATTTCTTATTCGAATTACTTTGATTTTAGCTTTATAGAACGTTGTTAACTGGTTTAGTATCTATTGAGATTAAAAATGTTATGTATTCGCATTAGTAGCTTTGAGTTTTTTAACTAAAAAATTTAGTTGGCTTACAGAAATATGTTACTATCAGTGTTTTTAAACATTGCTTAATATATAAGACAGTATACTTCTTGACCATAAAATATACCACCTGTTGTATTAAAACTCTGCGAATTTTTATCGTATATAATTTAATTTTCTTTGAGGTTTTATCTTAATTTTATAAAAAATTTCAGTTTTTCAGATTCTACAACACGATAATTTTTTTAAATTAACTAAACATATAACATTAAATTTATAGTATGACAGGATATATATCGTATTTATCCATTCTTAAACTAATAAGAAACTGGAAGTTAAAATTAATAAATTATAGCGTTGGTGCAATAACCAGATAAGTCTAACTTTTTTAGAACTTACTTTTTGTTAGTTTTGAATAAATATGATATTTCTATGAAATTCAGTACAAAAACGAATTCTATCTTCCTATTTTTATAAAATTTCTTCTCTAAAAATTTAATTAAAAATGGACTTATCTGGTTGTTGCGCTATGCTCTTCAATTATGACTTGTAAATACTTGTCTTTTTTCATTTTTTTGTAGATATTTACATTATTTCCTAAATTTATCAAAAATTTCCTTGTCAAAGTTACTCTCTTAATAATGGAAGGTAGAATAGTCGATGACTTTGTTATACAATCAGCTGTTGTTTTAGTACATCCTACTGTTTTACAAAATGTCTTTTCGATGGCGCTAGACGAGATGGACAATGTTTACCATTTGGACACGAAGGTTTGTTTGTTTCTTTTAATTAATAATTTAACCTTTAAGGTGAAAATAACATAAATAAGATAATTAAAACCTAAAAGTTAATTTTGTTAATTGAAGATGGTTATAATAACTTATGGTTTTATTTGAAAGGAGATATAAAAAAGAAAAAAGTTTACTATTGCCTCTAACAAAAAAAAAAATGTTTCTTAACAACGTAATTAATTTTGTTCTATCTCCCTACCTTACTCTCTCTCATAATTACACCTCTGGATAAACATAGTTAGATTATTTAAATTTATCCTTTCTTACAGTTACAATTTTTGTTTTCTTTATATTTACAGCCCCTGAACGAACATGCTTCAAAATTGCATATGTATTTTGGAAATTGCGACAACTGGGCGCCGATATCGTTTTATCATGAGATTCATGAAAATGTGCCGGAGGCTGATGCTGTTTTGTGTGACAAAGGATACTTACATGCATTTGTACTCAACCATTCGGATGAGATAGCAGCTATAGCTGCCGAATGGATTAATGCAGATTTAAAAAAATGACGGATTTATTCTTTTTTTAATTTTTTTTTTAACTTGTTGTTTAATACTAACTTTTATATTTGTTAACTCTAGTGTAAGAAAATGTTATTTAAAAAAAGTGATTTTTTTCTACGAATACAATGTAATGGTTTATTGCACGTATTGGTCTTATCTTACTTCAATTTCATTTCTTACTGTTCCTCTATACCTGCTATTGAAATAAACAAACAATTTACAACCCTTTTTTTATTATTTAGAGTTAGAAACACCTTGACGTGTTAAAACATAAGCACAGGTGTGTCTTCAGGTTTTCGAGTTTTAACCGTTGTTCGTTCGACTTATTCAGATACCAACTCCCCTTCTTTACTTAAGTAATACATATTTGGTTGATCGCAATTAGTGAATCCAAAAGAGTGCAGGGCACATTATATTCATCGGGCATATATGCATATTACAATAGTAGTAAGTATAGATAATAATATTAACAACGATAGATTGGTGTGCGTTTAGAAAACAAAAAACAAGGTCATAAGCAAACGAATCGATTGATTCCCTGCGTGTAAGTCGTAGTCATTTTTATGACTACTACTAACACGATATACTGCAAACATATCCATGTAGAATTGTATGGCGTGTTACTATTATACGCAAAAGTTATTTAGTTAATGTCCGTCGACCGTTAAACAATTTCTTCGCACGTTTACAAGTTCTTAATGCACAATATATGATATATGTTTTTTTAAACACATCAGATATTTAACACCCCAACGGGTAAGAATGATTGCTAATATCACATAAAATTAAAAAACTAATTAATTAATTATTTTGATACAATAATAAAACAAAATATTAAGTATAGTTATGAAAATTATTATAGTAATTACCTATCTTACAAAATATGGTCAAAAAATCTACAGAGCGATTGATTAACTATGCCTCACAAATCTCTGAAAATATAAGAGTTATCTTTTTTTTTTCTTTATGAAATATTATGTTTCTATCTTGGGCTGCTCATTGAGTAAAATTACATTTTTATGATCATCCCGTATGCTTTAAATCAGTATCAACTTTCAATTTTCAAACGGTAACCCTAATTTTTTTTATATATATAATCAGATTAGATTTAGTTTTAAAAAAATTGTTCGTAAACATTTTTTTTTTATGTAATTATTAGTGAGCTATGATTCATTTAAATTTTGAGGATGTCAATATTACTCATGTTGATTTATAAAAGACGCACAAATTTTACGTCGCGGTACAATACACCGATAGTTCTAATTTGTACACTAAATATTAATGTTACTGTATTTACCCAACTACTGTTTTATTTGTTAAATCCCATCAACTTAAAATAGTGATACCTCGTTTAGAATTTATTAAAATTTATTTTTTTTTTAATTTTTCTTTTTTATTCAATAAAATATTAATAAAAAAAAAAACTAGGTTTCTATTTGAAAAACTAAAGTAGATATTGATTTCAGGGTTAAGGGATGAAGATGGAATTTTTATTTTTCTTGTCAAGTAGCTCAACAAAGATCTATTACAAATAAAATAATTACATATATGATAACACTAATATTTTTAAAAGTAATTCGTGAGGCATAGTTAGTCAATCACTCTGTATAATGATGACTCTTTTTTGTTATAGTATAACATACAAAGAAACATAATATGTTTTTAAAAAATCTTTTTCATTTTCATTGAATTAAATAATAGTAATAGTCAGTACAATTCTAAATTCTCCATTGATTTCTGAATGTTACTCTAGTACAGGATTTTTCAAACTTTAAAGAAAAATAGTCGCAGATCCGATTGCTCAAGTGTAAAATCTGGCTTTATTTTAATCGCAATCAGTAAAAATAGGTATTGTTTAAAGTATAACTAGTTCCCTCAGATTAAAAGTTAACTGACTCCTCGTTATTCTCTATTCTTTATAAATTTAAAATTCTGATATAGTATCTTTTTTTTAAACAACTTTTCAATATAAAAATCAATTTTACATCCTTCTATTTCCTGAATTTAACATGCTAGAACCCTCTTTCACATGTTAGAGAGTCAAAGATGGTTTTTGGCTAGGCTAATGATGGACAGGGCGAATATTATGGCCGGCTTGCAACAGATACAAGCTAATACGAATGAAAAAATCTTGTGGAATTCTGGGGATCGAACCCGAAACCCCGTGCGCCGAAACATAAGTTTATACCCACTAGACCAGGTTAATCCCCTAAAGAACTTTTCATTATAAATTAAGTAAAATAATTTGATATAAAAAAATTCATGAAGTTAAATGATTGGTTAATAAATAAAACTAGCAAAAAATTTAAATTATATTTCATAAACTGTGTGATATTTCTATCAGCTTATGTCTGTACGCAACGGTGATATTTATTGGGACGAACCGTCGTGGAAAACATCAAGAAGAGCAGTATGTATGGTAATGAAAGGGGACTTATCCGGAGCTCAAAGGGTTTTAGCGAAAAAAGAGGAAGACATATATATTGCCAACTGCAAGTGTTTCATATCTACTATAACAGTTAGTCGTCTTACTTTTTTAAAAAAATTTAAATATATTTAAAAATAAATAAAATAATAGCCAAAATAAATCAATAAAATACAAATTGACTTTATATGTATAATACTCTATACTTAATTTGTCCTAGTAATAAACATAACATATTCAACATTTATTATAATAATTAAATTTTATCACTTTTGTCTAATATTATTTTAAATTAATACTATATTAAAAATATTATAAATTTAAAACTAAAAAACCTAGCACAGTGAGGTGGTGGCATAGTTGGGTCCAGTATAAATGATATCTGACAGTGATTAAAATCACTATCATAAAAAACGCTTCGATGCAAATCTGTAGATAGTGTTTAATTAAAAAAAGAAAATTTGATAAAATAGCATGTTTTTGAATATGGTAGCTATTTGCGCATAGAAGATAGGTCGTCGGGACAAAGTATAGTACATAAAATAAGCTTTAATTTGATATATCTTTAAAAGACGCAGTATTTTCGGAACATTTTAAAAAATTAAGTTGAAAAAGTTACTATTTTAAATCCCCCCAGTGAGCAGAATAAGTGTTAGATTTTCAAAAAAAATTATATCAAATGAAAGGGAAATATCTAAGGTTTCAATACAAAAGAATATTATTTTTATTTGTTCATTTTTGAAAAAGTTATGGCAGTTTTAAGTACAAAAAACATTCCGATAAAAGGTAATTATTATCGCAAACATTACATTTTTTTTTAATTTTCGAAAGCCATTTGCGTATAGAAGATAAGATGTCGGGATGAATTTTTTTTTTCATTTGATAGTATATAACATAACCTTTGATTTGATATATGTTTAAAGGACGCAGTATTTCCGAAACATTTTCAAAAGTTCAGTTGAAAAAGATCTATGTTTTTTACAATATTTCAAGTTTTGAACGCCCCCTATATAAGGCGAAATTGTCCAATTTTAATAAAAAGTATGTCAAATGAAAGATGTACTTATAATGTATTTAGAAAAAAAAAATTTGTGCTGATATATACATTTTTCAAAAAGTTATAGCATTGTTAAGTTGAAAATTTAAAATTGAAAATCGAAAATTGTAACACAAAAATAGTGTTTTTTTAACTATGGCAGCCGTTTAAATGTAGAAGAAAAAGTGTCGGGAAAAATTTTTTTTTTCATTTTATAGTACATAAAATAAGCTTTAATTTGATATATGTTTGAAGGACGCAGTATTTCCGGAACATTTTCAAAAATTAGTTGAAAAATTTAATTTTTGTAAAAAAGTTACTATTTTAAATTCCCCCCAATGAGCAAGTTAAGTGATAGATTTTCAAAAAAATAATATCAAATGAAAAGGAAATATCTAAGGTTTTAGTATAAAAAAAATTATGTTGATTTGTTGATTTTTCAAAAAGTTATGGAAGTTTTAAGAAAAAAAAGTGAACAAATTTCGAAAATTAGCGATTTTTAAATTTGTAATTTTTTTGGATATTTCCCCCATTTGCGGTGAACGAGGGAAATTTTTTCAATTTTTAAGGTTAATATCTCCAACTAGATACGATTTGTGATCTTTTGACGTATTTTTGAAAGAAATCGGTCCAGTGAGAGCAGAGAAAAAGTGGCAACAGACAAAAAAAAAACACATCATAGTAAAATTAATACCTTCTCAGCTTTGCATCGAAGCTAAAATATTAATTTTAAATCAACATTCATTATTACTCAAATTTATATAGTTTTATTATGAGATAAAAATTTCTACCATTCAACTGATTTTTTTTTTTATAATCAGAATTTGATTTTGGAGGCTCCAGATTATACGAACAGACAAAATGTTCTTTCAAGTTGTCGTCAATTGGAAGAGCGATGTGCGACTGATAATACAAAAAGCTGGATGTCTGCAGTAAAAAATAGAGTTTTTCGCGGAATTGACAATATGAGTTTTAGCGACTATGACAAACAAATCATTCATGTAGATGCTTTAGTATACATAGGATGTCTAACCGCTGCTACAATCGAAACTATATCAGTTGGAACAGCAGCAAAAGCTGTTTATGGTATGAGCCGAGCTTGGAAAATGTACCAACAAAGTTACTCGGAAATTCTGAAAATTTATTGTACTATGTTTGAAGTCGGTAATTATCATAAAAACGTTTTAATAGTACAATATCTCAACTTAAAATTTGTTTATAAATAAACAATACATAAATATATGAGCACACAATTATAAAATGGTTTTAATTAAGTATGTCTATTTATGAACATTAATTTATTTTAGAAAAAAAATACGTAGCATAGAATTATTTCCACTCAAATAATAACTTTGCAACCTTTAACTAGATGATGATGTTCCAAAATGGCCACCTGTATTGAAATGTAAATTATCTGCATCCAAAATCAATAATCAAGTTAATAAACGAATGATTCGGTCATCAACTACATCATTTGAATTTTTCAGAAAACCGGAGTGAGTATTCCAAACATTATAAAAAAGAAAAAACTAACGTAACAAAATTAAATATTTCTATTTGTACGATCTATATACATATTATAGTATGACAGTAAAGATGACTCCTGAAGAAGCCATCAGATTGATGACAGCGGTAAGCACTGGTTACGGCGGTATAAATCTTTTCCTGTCACTTCTACCCGCGAAAATAGCTTCCATGACGTTAAATATGTTGGGATTTCGAGGAAATCGTCAAACAGGTTTGGATGCTTTATCATTCGCAAAAAATGGACCAGACATGCATGCACCTATAGCATGGTACAATTATTTTTGTATTGTATACATCATTGTGTAGTATTACTTAATTAATGACTTGGCCATTGAACATTACCTCCAAAAAAGTATAGAAATAATCACATATAAAAAATGTATATGAATATCGTACAAACAGAAGATGTTTATTTTAATGACTTGGTTGGTTTGTTCATGAACAGGTTGATCATATCATGGTACCACATGAACGTCACAAATTCGGGAATTGAATTTGACGAACCACTATTTCGAGAGAATAGGGAATTGTGTTTAAATGAAATTAAGAACTTAGCCCACAATCCGCCATTAGAGTTACGCGGCAGTTGGCTTCAAAAATTTTTCATTGGACGTTATGCTTATTTCAAAGTATGTATTAGGTTTGTGATTAAGTAGAATTAATAGTCATAAAAAGTAATTATTACCCTTGTTTCATCGCTGATTCTTTCTCTTCTTCTTGCAGGGTCAAGTAGCAAAATCCATTAAAGCTTTCGAAGCTGCATCAAGAATAAATATTTACGAGAATTGGAATGCCATGTGTAAACAGGAGTTAGGATTCATGTACGCTATGTGCTTAAAATGGGATGCTTCTTTCCAATGTTTTTTAAATGCAGCTGAAAGCAGTTCATCAATGAGATCTTATCATTACTTTTTAGCTGCCGGTAAGTTGGTTCCAATAAAATATATATACAGAGTGAACTGTTTATCATAATTCATCTAATTACTTTCAATATAAATATAATAGTGAAAAATAATGTTTTGATTCCTTTTACTCGTAATTGTATATATTTCTTGATCTATCAATTATTAATTACTTTTTAACGTGGTCGTTTATAACTTGTAGAGGTATCAACTTAATTCTTTTAAATAACTATATATACATACAGAAATGTATAAGAGACGTTTTTTTTATTTTTAATGAATAATGACTGTATTGACGGTTGAAAAACAAATAAAATGTTTAGTTTTAAATATTATAGTAACAGCACTTGTTAAGCAGGAGCGAAGTAAGAGGACTGGGGAAACTTCGACTTCAGTTTACAATTAAGCCTCCTCAGAAATATAACAGGATTATATGTATTGCCATGTAGAAATTATTTTTTGGAGGGAGAAGATTTAATTTAGCTCCCCCTCCAAAAAATAAAAGATTACCCTACGCCTATGATAACAACTATCCAAAAATGGTACAAAATTGAACGAGCATATAGAAAAATGTTCAAAATGGCTTGAATCTAGTACATTATTTTTCAAAAAAAGGAAATTAGTTGATATATAGACTGTTCAGCAAGTAAGAAAACTGGTATCTATTGTTCTCATTATTTGTAACAATTGACTTGTTTCCTAACTTTTGAGCACTTTGTATAATTAGTTTATTTTTTAGTTTCAATTTATAAAAGACTTATTTATGAGTATAAATTATAAACTAAACAAAATGTATAATAAAACAGTAATTAGAGCATCTGAATTCAGTTTTAATTTAAATTGTTGCAATAGACCTTAACTATCAAAACGTGTGATCTAGGAAAATTTATGATTTTGCAGTCTAAACAAATTATAGAAACTATAGCAAGCTGAGAAGGTATTAATTTTATCATGATGCATGTATTTATTTAGTTAACGCTTTGTTTGATATTATATATTTTAAACCATTAACTAACTAAATTATTAGAAATTTTAAAGGATTTTAACATTTGTTGAAAAAATTTCGTTTAGAAAAAAAACCAAAACTAAAAAATAAATCAAAGTTTTTATTCTGTTTAAATCTATACATATATATTTATATAATCAATATAATAAGAAATTATCGAAATAGGATAATCATTAGTCGATAATAACTTTTGAACCGTTATTTAAAAAGATATAAATATTTGTATCATAACGGTAGGAGAAGAGCGGTTTAGAAATTTCCTGAATATTATTTTTTGTTAATTGGAGTTTTAAAGATGCTAATAACTTCTAAAAAGTAAATATTTTTGAAATTACGCAAATGGAATCACTGTGTATGTTGCCATCTAAAATATAGTTGACACCCCTATAAGTTATGAAGGATGGTTCTAAAAAGTAATTAGTAAAATTTACTTTTTAATATTTAAAAATTTAATATTTATGTTTTTTGTGTGTAAATGTATGAGTTATGATAAACGTGTCACTCTTTATACTGGATAACAAAAAAAATTAAGTTAATTATTATCTATACTATTTCATAGCTTGCGCCGGAACATTGGGTTTGAGTAATAAAGTGAAGCTTATGTTAAAATATGTAGTAAAAACTATGAGAGAAGAAACGAAAGTAGAATTTTATTCTAGTTTTGTGGGTAAGAAATCAACAGACATCATAAAACAATTAAAAAAACGTATGGATGTCAATAAGAGCTATTATAAGTTAATTATTTATGAAGTCTTGTATGTAATTTATGGCGTATCAATGTTGTCTACCGATACTCTTAACACGATCATCACAGGTATGTGTATCGTTTTACTAAAAAGGCTACTCAGAATTGAAACAATACTCATAGGATTCCTTTGAAAATAAATAATATAAACTTGAAGAACATCTTTTGAGATAAGACTTATGTTCACAGATTGTAAGGAGGCGATCGACGACAACGAAGTAAATGAATCGTATCGATATATAAAAAAACTTTTAACTGTAGTGTGTCGTCGACAAATGATGGAATGCGACAGTTGTCATGGGAATCTGCTTCATGAACTGATAACTTATATGAACATTCACAATTACCAGGACCACGTGTACGCATATGCATTATATGAATTGGCTATAGAGCAGATTAATTGCCCGGAAGTTAGTACATAATTTTACAAACTTATTATTGAAAGTGATTACTTTCATAATTATTCTTATGAAATAATTAAAGTATTTCTAAGTATTGGCTACAATAAAAGGAGATACGTCCATATTTTTTCACTGGTTCTTCATTTATCTATCTTGTATTCTAAACATTAATGTACTAGGATTAAAAATTTTGTATTAAATTTGGCTCACAAATAAGTCAAATATATATCATAAATTATTAAATTTATACAAATTATTCAAAAATTGTTAAAAATACTATTTAGTAAAATATTTCAACTATTATTATGATAATCAGTTTTATAAAGCTGATAAAAAATATATTTTTATAAATCATATTTTTCCCACAATTAATTTTTAAAATTATTATTAAAATTATTTTTTTAATTAAAGCTAATTCATAAAAAGTAATTAAAAGAGTAATTATTGACTCTATGATAAGTGGTTTTATTTTTTATTCTCACACTCTTTTGAGGATTTGTTTTATTTTCACATAAAAATCACTTATCATCAAAGTTACGTTTATTGCATTATTAGTATTATCAAAACAATAAAATTAATTTAATTGTCCTTGAAATAATCAATGCATAATAAATTATTTTTATTTATTTAGACACTCCAAGAAGGTAAAAAGACCATACAAAAAATGCAATATTTCAAACGTCTATGTTATTTTAGAAATTTCTTCGAAAAACGTTGTGATGCATTGGAAGCTTATGTTAAGAAATTTAATGAATCATAGTTATCAATATGATTGTAATAACTTCAAGATATGCTAGTCACAATTATTAAGTTTTTTGGAATGATTATTATTTTAATAAATATTTTTTCTATTTATTAAGAGACAAAATTGTCAATATTTTTACCATATAATAAAAGTTATGAATTATAATTTGTATTATATTTTATTATAATAAGTTTGAAAGAATATTAAAATAAATATTGTTTATTGATAATTATACAAAATTTGAAGCAACAATGTGACCTTAACTGACTTATTTTGAACTAAAAAACCCAGCACAGAGGGGTCGCAGGCATAGTTGGGTCAAGTATAATGATATCTGACAGTGATTAAAATCACTATCATAAAAAACGCTTTGATGCAAATCTGTAGATAGTGTTTAAATTTAAAAAATTGGTGGATTATTCCAAAAGCTACATGATTACAAGTTTTATCATTTATAAATGTAATATAAGAATATATATATATATATATATAATATATAATTTTATTTAAAAAAAAAAGTATGTCAAATGAAAGAGGTATATAAATAATATTTATCATACAAAAATTATATTGTTCCAAATAATTTTTAAAAATGTATAGCAATATAAAAAAGAATTTTTTTACAAAAATATTATTTTTTTATTAACTTTAATGATAGTTTTCACCATAATAACAAACTAAAGTTTAAAATTTTTCTTTTCCATATTAAAGTATATTACATAAGTTTTAATTTAAGATATATATAAAAGTGACAGTATTTCCGGAACACTTTCAAAAGTTAAGTTGAAAAAGATAATTTTTTATGAAAAAGTTGTCATTTTTAATCACCCCTGTATTAAGGGAAATGGTCCAATTTAAAAAATCAGTATGTTGAATGAAAGAGGTATTAACGATCAAATTTATAAAAAAAAATATACCAAATGATAAGTAAGATATCATGCATCTATAGAAAAATTTTTATTGTTTTGGTTATTTTTGATACAGTTATGGCAGTTTTAAATAAAAAAAATTGAAAAAATTTCTTAAATTAGCGATTTTTAAATTTTGTAATTTTTTTGAAGATTTCCCCCATTAACTCCCTCGTTCCCTACGAGGGAATTTTTTCAAATTTTGAGGGTAATATCTTTGACTAGATACAATTTGTGATCTTTTGACGTATCGTTGAAAGAAATCGGTTTGGTGAGAGCTGAAAAAAAGTGGTAACAGACAAAAAAAAAAAATAAATAAAATAATAAAAAAAACACATCATAGTAAAATTAATACCTTCCAGCTTCGCATTAAAGCTAAAAAAATTGTAAATTTTGATATTAATTGTTTAAGTTTTTATGTGCATATCGTGTATAAAAGAATTGTAGTTCGTCAATTATATAATTTTATTAATCTCATATTTAAGTGATTAACAAATATTTTTTAATTATATTCTTAGAGTCCAATTTATTAAACTTAAAAAATAGATAAACTAAGGCCTTATTGAATAAAATTGTATTTTTAACTATTAATAAGTACAAAAATCAAACCTATCTTGTAAATAAATAAATTTCGTTATTAATAAAATTTCATAAAAATAATAAAAAATGAAAATATATTTATATATTGAAAATTGTATCAATCTCTTTGCATATGAATTTATACCTACATGATTCATTTCGATTCTGTAATTTTTTTTTGTTAATCTGATTGGTTTAAAACTGTAACAGTTTTAAGAAAATTAATATTTTTGATTTATGATTTTATTAACAATTTATGGCCAATTATAAAAAGTAATGTTTGTATCTAACCATATGTGGCTAATTTCGCGAAAAAATAATTGATCATAATGAGATTAATTTCCTTTTTATATAATAAAAGGGTCATTTTCATACAAGTATAGAAGATTAACTTACCTATATGTATGTATTGTTTTACTCTCTCTATAGTTTTATAAATAAAAAAAATTATATTAATACCATGTTAATAACTAGCAACAAAAATAGTATAACGAAATTATACTAAACTTGGTATAGTTGAAACCTAATATATACCTAAATACTGTTAATAACCATAAGTTAAATAAATACATGAATTTGATGAAATTATTTCTCAACAAATTTCATAGTGTAACATTGTTAATTGGTAAACTACGTGTATTTTACATTATTTAATATTTTCTTTTTGTATCAAAGTGTTTGTATAATTTATTATAGAGTAATGTCATTGTTAACTTTACTTACAATTCTTTCATTGTACATACAGAGCTCTCTAGTGGACTATTCGCTATTTGAAAATACATCCTATACATTTATTTACAATATTTATTTGTATTATTAAACAATAATAATTTATATATAAATATACTAAAATACAAAAATTAAATTGATATTATATTTATTATTTTATTAATTAACTTTATTAGTTAAGATTCAAAGTACAATTAAAATTAACAAAATTATAAATATGAAATTAATTTAATTTAAATATAAATAACTATATTAAATAATAAAAAATTATAGTAAATAAAAATCTTATTGTTTATTTCAAATATAAACCAAGTTTTATTATTAAGGATTTGTTAATCTGTTGAAAATATTCTAGTTTTATAGCATATCCATATATTCAATTTAAACTAATTCATTTACCAAAATAATTACTGCAATTCAAATTATCAATGGTGCAATTTAAGTCCAATACATCTTTAAAGACTATCCTTTATTCACCCTTTCGTATAAATGCATTATTAAATCTACCATCTAGTCACTTAAAACCCCTTTATGTAAATGAAAAATGAAGATGAGTTACATTATAGTCAACATGGACTATTTATCAAGATTTCCATTTTAAAAATGTATTTATCATTTTTAAATCTCTTAAAACTATTGCGTAATTGAATTGTAATGCTTTTTCAATTGTATTGAAATCTAAATTTTTAAGAAAAAATATTTTTAAAACTCTATTATGTGCTATATTATAAGTAATCCAGTCTGTTAATGTATTTCTTAGTTAAATTAAAAAAAAATCGATTATATGAAATTAATATAGGGCTCAATACTAATATGTAAAAAAAATACAATAGTATTACAGTAACCCTCATAAAAACATCATATAGACTCAAAATACATTGGCGTTTTAATATGTATTTTTACGAATCACTAGTCTTAGAACGTTAGATTTCAATAAATTCGCAAACCGGTCGTCAATTCTATATGGATGTTTTTTTGTTCATCTACAAATTTTAGGACATTCTGCGTATTAACTTCACTTAACATTTAAAACTAAAATAATTTTAAAGGGTCGTTTCGAAAAGATTCATCTAAGTCAGTTTTATTTTTAACAATTTTATCGAATGACCAGCGTTCAAGTAATACATGGAATTAGTAAAAATAACAACACATACGTTGGCAATTATTAATTGCAAGACTAATTTGAATCTCAAATTATACAAAATAAGATTGTAAGTAGACATGGGAATTATCCAATAGTAACTATCGAACTAGTCGATAGTCATTCAAAAAATATTCGATAGTTTATGTTAAAAATAAACTATTCGTTAATTATCTTCTTATTATAATTAAGTGTACTAAATAAAAATTTTAGGTAGAACTAATCGAATATTTTTTAAAACCATTCGGTAGCACATTCGAATAGTTATTCAATAGTTTTAAAAAACTATCGAATAGTATAAAATATTCGAAAATGCCCATCACTAATTGTATGTCATCAAAGAGATAGGTGGCTTATCTACTGCGCCGTTTCCACCTGTTGCGACTGATTCTGTGAAATAACTGTTCGCCAAAGATAACAACGTTTACTGGTGTGTTGTGATTTTTATTAGGTTCACCATGTTCTCCTTCCAAATCGGATCTCGGTTATCTCTCGTAACCCCTCCCCCCCACGTTTGGAATGCACACGTACGGCAAGGAACAGCACAAAGCCGCTAACATATTAAGGCGCTGTACATTACCTACTGCAAGCAGCCATGCCCACGTACACATAGACCGCACACTCATTATTGTTGTTATTATTATACACTGAGCCGGCGAGTACGGCCGAGTACCGAACAGCACACATTTCTGCCGCCATCGTCTTCGGCCGTCGTCGCCGCCACATGTACATATGAATGTGTGTGCGTACGAGAAGCCGACCGTCCTACTGAATTCCAACGTTTCTTAATCTCTCATACGTATTGCCGACTGTTCGATGCTCTGGACGCGTTCCGGTTATTTTCACTAGTGCCGTTCATGTCTGATAAAAAAAAATACCAAAATCCGTTTTATGTGTTTGTGACGTATGAGAATTTTATACTTACAGCAACGTTTTGTTCGCTCCGTTAACGACTTGCACAAGGATAAAGAAATACTACTGTTGAGATTTCCTAATATTTTTATTAATCTGACATTTATTTTTCAACACCCTCGTCCTAGGTAAGAATTACTATTTATATATAAATACTATGATAATATTTGCTTTTATGCGCATCAACGATCACGCTAATTCGTAGAAAAATAATGTTTTTTTTTTTTTAACTCGTGTATCGTATAGACTGTATTTCAAACTGAATTCGGTTAATTCATATTGAAATTTAACGATAAACTGTTCTGCTTTATGACAATTTAGGTAAACTGTTTAATGCTATCATGATTTTCCAACTTTCAAAGTAATTCATTAGCCAATTTAAAAATTAACTCGAACAAAAACTTCAATTTCCTGTCAATATCACCAGGCTATATTTTTCTAAAATGATTTTGTGTTTATTTATTCATACGCTGTATAATAAACTTTAAACTCGACAAACATTCATAAGTTATTCACTTTCAGCTCAGCGTGTGTTATCGGTGTAAAGTAATTATGTATTCCCAGTATGCGTTTTGATTGTAACTTGACTATCGTTTTCTGTGATACGGTTAGTAAAAGGTTAGATATAAAATATTTTCTGAATTTTTACACGTATCGAGTAATAATTGAACACGCTAATCGGAGATTTCTAAGTAAATCGAGTACATAATGTTTCTTACTTTAAACAAGCCTTCCAATTAAGTTTATCAATCGATAACTCACACTAAGTAGTAAACTATTTTGTTACACTCGTTCTCATGTGTGTGACCCCCTGACCTTCACTATAAATACCAAAGTACAATTTTATCTGTAGCTTTCAAAACACGCGTCTGCCCGTCTCCCTTTCTCCACCGTGTATCTCGATTAAGGTCTTTCTAAGTAGAATTTTAAACGTTTTCTATTAACGCCATTGGTTGGACTTCAATTATAAAAATAACTGTACGTACGTGCCAAAGACGGTTTTTCAGTGAAAAGAAAAAAGAGTGCGTTTCATTTGGCAAGTACGTGTACAATCATATTGTGAACTCTGCAAAAAAATGTTCGAGAGCTCATTGGACTTGTGTAAAGAACTTCATGACAATCAATAATTGAGATAGCGTAAAAAAAAACATGTACCACTACAATACTTTGTCGATGTTGTTTCAGATTTTTAAACAATGTATTTTTATCTCGTCCACATGACCGTTAGTCATTTCTCGATTACAACACCGGTGCAATTTTACTTAGTCCGCGTTAAGGGCCGTCACCGTTGGAAATGAAATTTTTTCCACTCCATGCGTTACAAAAGCCAGTGTTGTTCCATCGCCCTTAAAATATTTTGCCCCGTATACAATAAAACGTACTCACTGACCTTACAGGCCATTCCGTCCGGGCCTCGCACACATGTAGTGTCACACAGCGATGTTGGTGTGTACCCCGTTGTGTTCGCTCCTGCCGTAGGAGGGACCAAGGAAATTGCTGTTAGACGGGATTTTGTATTATATTCGTTTGGTACATAATGGGACACCTTTCCAGATGTTTTACCATTTACAATAATAATGAATACACTGAGGGATTCATTGTCCACGTGTGGTGCTGCTGCCGCCGCCGCCGCCGACGTGATGCACAAAAAGGACGACGCCGAGTATGCATTTGTTTTCTAAAAATTTTCAACGGCCAATCATCAGCGTAAGCCAGAACTATTCGTCCGCCGGCTAATCGTGTGAACCGAATCGTGTCGGATGTAATAATGACTCCTCTGACGCTGAAAAGAATGAAATTATATTATTGTCGAGTGTCGACACTCGGATTGGGAGCTCCTTGATAATGTTACGTGTTCCTTGTACCATCTATTCGTTCGACTGATATCCATGTGGACATTTTTTTGTCATTCGATTCGCTTTTAACAGAAGCTGTTGTCACAATTGACACGCCGCCAGTTCTTTCGAAATTGGTTTAGTATATATTCACCAATTTGTGTCGCCGAAGACTATTTTCATGTCTGTTTGTATTACACGGACGATTGAAATCAATTGGTAATTAGTAATTAATTAACTATAATTTATCGCGATTCCGTTTTTGCCGTTGGTTTCGAATTGGTCCACGGAATTTTTCGCGATAGTTAATAGCAATTACTATATTGTATTTCACTGCAACACGTCAACGACCGTCTGTTTTGCAACAATAATAGGAAATATGATTAGCGGGACCCCAACGAACTAATAACACAACAATAGTGGTAAAAAGTAGAACTAATGTTTTTTATTAATCAGAAACTGTTTTCGTTGGTAATTACCGAGCAATCGAAGCAACCATTAAATAAATCATTATTTCATTTCTATTCTAAAATATATACAATGAAGTTACGGTTTATGAAATTTGAACCGGATGTGCAAACAGAAAAAATGTGTTCTTTGAATTTGACGATAAAACGACAAAATTTAATGACAATTTTTTATTGCTGAATGCTGCTAATTTCTCGTTTCATTAGCGGGATAATTTGATTTGGTGCAACGTTTACTGTCGACTATCCATCGATTTTAATTTACTAAGAATACAAATAGATTCTGAATCATTTCTCGCGTTTCTACTAGTCCAATGGGATCAGAAGAGTTCATTTTAGAGTGCCCGCAGCACAATGCGTTCATTGTATTTTTTAGGAAATTCACTCAATTGTTGTGGGTGTGGTCGAAACTCATTTGTCGAACTTAATTCGCCGCTAATTGCTTTCACGTCGATTAATGTCAGTGTAATAACTAGTTGGAAACATTATTGTTAATTAAAAGTACACCAAAGGACCGTATTATTATAAAAACGCAAACTACAATGTGATGTTTTACTTTCAACAATATAATGACAGCAATTACATCTAGTGAAATATATTTTGTCGCACGAATTTTCTACAAAAGGAATAGTTATTTGCATTTTAATGGCATAGAATTATTTATCTATTAAAATTACGGTTTTGGTCTAAAACGAATGATTTGCAATTTTCTTTATTTCTGCAATTTTTACAACGGACTCATAGATAATATTAATTAAAACTATACGTACATCAATAATAGTTTGATGACCTCTTTTCATCCATGAAAAACATTAAGTTTAATTGATAAAAAACGCTGAATATCTTTAAAAACTGAAGTGAATTGCTCTAAGTACGACGGTTTTTTTTTTTTGTTATTCTAGTAGAAAAAAATCTATTTTTCTACTAATGTTTTTGCACCAGTAGAATAAACTTTGTATCATTGAAAAATAAATTTTACAATGATGTTGTTGAGATTTTTTTTGTGAGCTACAACTTTTGCGTTGGATAGAAAACTAAAAAAAAATGAGCCTATTGTCAACTGCTATGAACTGTACACGAATTCGTTACGAATATTGCCGTCTAAGACAACCGTGAAGTCATTCCACACGCACGAAGTAGTGTCATTAAATGAACCAATCGCAATTATTGTCCCCCAAAGTTCTTGTGTGTCGGGTACTCATTCGATAGCAATTAAAATGTTTTGATTAATCGTATACAACAGAGCGTGTGAAGTTGTTGTTTTTAAATTCGATAAAATCACGGCGTGTCATGTAATTTTTTATCAAAAATGTCTTGTTATTCAGTTAATGGGCTATTTAAATTGATGCTGTAATATGTAAATGCGATCGAAAAATTGGTTAATTTACATTGAAGGTCAATTAAAAACATAAAATTATAATATTTAAATTCTAGTATTCACAACACATTTGATGTGAATTTCACACGCCGCGTTACGATAGTATGGCGTTTATTTCCCAAAAAAAAACATTTATTCAAAATTGTGTAACAATTCAACACGGCGAATTTTTCTTTTACAGTGTTTTGTGTTTTTATTTACTCGCGTATATAGCCAAGTGTAGCATCTAGTGCAAGTGTAAGCCATGTGTCATGAATTGTGTTGGAAGTAGACGCATCGTGTGTGTTTCTTTATCAGCAAATGTTTCTGACGAGTCGACTCTTTTAATCATAAACAGCCTGGTCGGTGTGAAATTCTCAAAACGTTTCATTCGCCTGGGGACCTGATGAGATGTCATGTGCACCTCGTGCCGCCGATGTGATGATGTCTTTTTGCGGTACACACACACACACACACAAGGCACGGCGGCTTGCGTATCGTTTTTAACCGACCAGACGATTAGCCTCTGAAGTTATTGGGCTCTGGGGGATTAGTTTACATTACGTGCAAGTAAGGAGAGAGCTGGAGACGAGGTCGTGGCGGCACCGATGAAACGTCAAGGAGATGGAAAAAAAAAAAAGTAGTCTCGATTTCAATATTATTATTTGTGCGGGGGGCAAACTACGAGAAGAGTAGGAAGTCTAAACACACTCTCACAAATACACGCACTTGTGTATAGTTTGTTATTTGTGTAAGAAAAGAACTGAACGAGGAGGAGAAGATTGTTTGCATTGGGCGCTCGTTAGCCGAACCTCGTCGTTGTTTTCTCACTGAAACACTGTAACCAGCTCGTACTTCAGTCTAGTTAAGGGAAACATGTGAAGATTGATAAATTATAGGTCTGCCGGACACAACCGGTTTTAAAAACCTTACCAGGAACAGAGGCGCTTGGAACAGCAGGCGGCGTTCACTCGAGCCACGATTTTCGATAAATTCATTCCACTGCCTTTGGGAACGCCTTGTCCCCCGACCAGTAACGTCTTCGTTCATCGACGGCCCAAATTAGTTTACCTTTTTCAGGGGAAGTGTGTACGATGTGTAGTACCTAAACGGCTCGTCTGAGGTACGGGCCGCAGCAGTGTAACTGCTGCTAGATAATGATCTGCGTTTTTTGTTTTTTTTTTTTTTTTTTTTTTTTTTATCTAATGGACCGTTTAATCGTTGCCGCTGAACATTATCATACACAATAACAATATAATAAGTGCCCCGCCATTTTGTATTGTTGTAATTCAACGTCAGTGAAGATTTCTACACTTAAGCTCACGTCCTCCGATTTAGTGTAAGTTATGTACAACGCGCCGGTTTTTCATTGGAAGGTATGGCCTTGGCCACGATGAATGATCTCCTTTTATTTAAAGTATCTAATATCATCATTCCTACGCATCTTTACTGATGTTGAGCGAACGAGTAAAAATTTTAAAAACGAATTTAATACTTCACAACGAGTGTTTGATAACTGTGTATTGGTTTTGTATGATTGTGTTCGCCGTTTGGTTAAATTTTCTACGTTTCAAACTCAGTTTATCGCCAATATGGCGTGTGGAACGTTTACCTAAAACAACAGATGACCTATTATCTGTTGTTTTATCCGCCGTATTGGTATTTATGTATTCACCTGCGCAACGGTGGCACTGATACTTTGGGGTGGGTTTACGTACGTGTTTAGCAATAAATGTTTGAATTTTTGGGGGTGTGTTGCATTCCTAATGGAAATGACAAGATAAAATAAGCCGGATCGATTAGGATAACACCTGTTCCTATTAGGTTTGTACATATCGATCTATTAACTTCATAAAACTGTCTTTGCATTTGAAATGTGTTTGTAGATTTTTTACGATAGCCAATAGCAGTCGTTAATTATATCCGACTGTTTTTAAACAATTATTTCCGACAGTAGTAAATAATTGAAAGTTTCGACGAGAATTTCCGTGTAATTCTAACTGATGATTTTTATCATCGATGCCGAGAAAATATCGTTCTTACTAAGATGTGTTTTTTCAAATAATCATTTAAAAATGACCTTAATATACTTTTCTTTGATTCGAATCGAAAAGATAATAAACTCTGAACTTTTCAAATTATACTTACTGTTAAGTCAAAAAAATGAAAATAAACGAATCAAATGTAAGTCTTTAATTTTATTCTCTAAAGAAATGTAAACAACCTTTAAAGCTAAACATGTTTGTTTTTAAGGGTTACTATGTTTGTGTTTATAAAAAAAAAAGAAATACAATTTTCAGGTAGTTGTGTTAAAAACGTAGGCGTTACCTATCAAATTATTTCTTAATAATACACAATAAGTTGACTGGTAGTTACTACCCCACACAGTTTCTCATTAGTAATAAATAGCATGATAAAATAAATTAAAACATCTTTTTTAGCGTTGAATTTAGAAAATGATATTTAACATTCTTAGATATGTTTTACAATATTTTATTGGCCGACTAACATTATCTATTTAATAAACCAAAATCTCGTCATTATACATAATTAATTCTTGTAGTCGTAATTATTAATCTTTCTTTTTCCATTTACTAATGTGGAATCGTCGATTTATCTTTAGAAATCCTACACGATGTACTTGATATACATTTTAGGTACATCGATTAATATTAGTCGATTTTTTTAGTAATGATATAACTGATTTTTTTTTCTAATTGTGAACCACTCGATAGACATTTATCTTAGTCACCGCAAATTGAATTGAAACCCTTGAAAAAATCGTTAATTGGACATTTACATTTTATGGCTTACTGGTTTTTATTTATTTTTAGGAAACCATCTAATCAATTTTGTATAAGATCTGGTTTTGCTTGTTCTAACACTACAAAATGTATTCCTTCTACGTTATGTGTTTCATATCGCCATGATTGAATTGAGTGGCATACCATTATATTTCATACCGTTTGTATTTATAAGTGTACTGTTCAATTTGAAACATGTTTGCATATGTGTATCGGAACACATATATTTGAAATTCATACATTTTGAGCGCTTATGATATTAATTATTCATTTGTTATTTTTAATTGTACTAATTGTTTTGTTTCAGTTTTGAAGACATTAAATGACGAATTGAGTTGGTCGACATGTTGATGCGCCATGTCATCCAGACATGGCCGTACTAAACAATACGGTCCGGATTCGGGCGCTTACCCCAAGTTACCACCGCCCCACGGCAATAACACTTACAATGGACGTACGCACCAGAATCATCTGCTGCAGCAGCAGCATCACCTGCAGCACAATAACCAACAACAGCAATATGCGGTTGACTTACAACCAAACATGCGCGGCACCTTGCCCCGCCAGAATCACCACCATCACTCGTTGCCCAGGTTTGTAGCCCTTAAACTGTAACACTTCTTCTTTTCATAGATTAAAGTAACGAATATATGTAATTTGTTATCGGACAGGAAGATCCGTTCGCTGGCTTACATCACCACAAGGGCGTTATTCGTTTACTTTATTGTTCTTTAGTCGCTGTGTAAAATTAACACGCGACCATCGTAAATACTTCCCACGTTACATTGCTTTGCAAACGACTACGCTATTAATTAATTATGTCGATAACGGGGGCCGGTTCAGTTAAATAAACGGCCAATTAAATAAGTAAACGACTGCAACAATGTATACCAGTGAGTCATTGGTCTGTAGTTGTTTAATATTTTTTGCTAATAAATCAATATAAAAAATAATATATTCGATTTAGATCATATTTATAAATATTAAAATATTATTTACATAGAAATGTTATATTTTATTATTCCTTGTGGTCCTCTAATGATCATTTAAATTTCTAACGCTTGACACGGAAAATAAACCTTGGGCGTGTTATCTACATTCTAATAATGACTTGTTAAGTAAAATTGAAAAGAATTTTTTTTAAATCGATGTCTATGTTGATAGTAAATCTAATTGTACTATTAATTGCATTATATGTTCTCTATAGTCAATTTGTATGTATATAAATTACTCGACAATAATGGATTCTGTCATGCGATGGGATTATTATGCGAAATGTTCTTGGCATTTGACTACTAAAAACCTAATGAATGAACTAACATTTGGCGCATGCCAAAAGGAATATAATAAAACTGTGTTTATTGTCTTCGACATTTATCATGTTTATAAACTGGATGTGTGTTGAATTGATTACAGAAACGCGTGGAGCGTGGACAGACACTCGCCGGTATCGTCGACGAACAGCTCCAACGATAAGGGCTTTCCGGCGGCGAATCATCTGCACCACAATCAACAGCAGTATCGTCGGTCCAGACATCGGGTGTACGGCAGTCAGCGGCAAATCGCCAGCAAGACGCGCAGTCATAAGGGCGGCGGCACTACCACGTCCGACCCGGACGCCCTGTCGTCGGTGACGACCGCTGGTAACAAGTTTAGTCACCGTCCGATGGGCGTTTGGACCGAATCGCCGGCTCCAGTTCTGCAACAAACCGCAACGTCGGCGCCCAGTCCTCCACCGCCGTCCGCGTTGCAACCTCAATTCGTGCCTCCGTTGCCGCCTCAGAATATCGCCCCCTATCCGATCGGTCCCTGTATCACAACCGCCGCCGCCGCCACTACTACTGTCCGGCAACCGTCGTCAGTCGCGCCCGCTGTGGCCGTGCGGCACCAGCCCGCGGCTATAATGCCCGCTTGCGACGTTGCCGTCGACGCTTGTGGTGGTAGGTGTCCGAGGTTCGAGAACTTTTGTCATTTTTGTTTGCTGGTACGTGAAACTTTTAAGCGATCTGTCAATATATTTTATCTTAGTCCTCGCGACTTTCTCCTACCGACTTTATCAATTTACTCTCCTGTTATCTTAAAATAATGTCTCTTGTTATTTCTTCTTTTTTTTCCGAGTATTTATTTATTTGTAACTGTTGCGTTTTCAGATATTTTACTTTTCCGGAATCACCGTCGGTTTCATGCTGATCATGTCAGCCATAGTATCGACTCGAGATCCCAGGTTCTTATACATAGGCTGCCTTATGCTACCGGTTAGTGCTTTCCTGTTGGCAGTCCAGTGCAGGGTACGTCAAGACGCCGACCGCCGAAAAAGACACCGGCAGCTCAACGGTCGTCATAGAACAATAGGTGCCAGCGCTACCGTAGTCAACACACACCCTCCTCCCGCCATACCAGATGCAATACCTTTGCAAAATATGATAATGGTGGGAAACGATACCTTGCGCAGACAATACCAGGGCCACGTGTACCAATACGTCGGCCAGAAGGACAACGAGTCTACTTACACAAACCAGTACGATTCGGCTAACGTACAACAGTAAGTAAAACAACACATTTTATTTGAACTATAAACAAACTTACTCGAGTATCTATTTTATAGAATCGATGGGGTTCCTTGGTGGAGGCGAGATGATAATCGTGTGTACCACAACAACCACGCCGCTCCTCATTCTTAAAGACTAAGAGTCACTTGTTACGATTCCAATTGAATTAGACTATTGTAAAAGAAATAATTTTATACTTTAGCACGTGTATATAAATGTTAATATATTTGTTTTTGTAATTTATTTGTTCAATATAAATTAACATATTTTATTTAGCGGCAAATATATTTTATTTTGCCAATAAGTTGAATCCACTTTTAAAAAATATTTCTTTCCTCATAAGTGAGTCATTTAATAACAAAGTGAGCATAACATTGTATATTTTAATTTATGTCTTCAAAAAAAAAAATTAGCGTTACATTTTATAATTAGAAAAAATATTATTCAAATGCACTTGAAAGTTCAGAAGAATGATTACAATTTTTCTGATGTCTGTAAAGTGCACAATATGAAAAATGTCCACCTATATTATGGGCTACATTTACTCAGCCAGTAAAGAAAAAAAAACAAATGCCGATTTGAATGAAATTTACAAATTGTTTACATATTTAAAGTTTCATTTAACTACTCTTTAGAGATACTGATAAAAAAAAAGAATTGATGTTAAATATATTTTAAAAAAATTTTAATTTGACCTTTTGAAAGAGGTAAATATATTATTTTGAATATATGTTTGAAATAATAAATTGGAACTTAAAAGTGATAAATGTATTGATTTTAAATATACAAGTGTAATTTGTAAAACATAGTGTTATACAATTTAAATGAGTAACTACTAAGTTCCGGTATATTTAAAAATATTCTGTAACATTTAAAAGTATGTGTTAGTTTTTAAAAAATAAAATTAATTAATAATACATACTATAAAATCACTAATCAAATTGAATAATCATATTTTTTTGTATAATTTGGATTAATAAAAATATTATTATGTACATAAATAATTTAAAACAGATAATGGTAAAAACTACTACAGATAAAATGGTTAAGGATAAATGACTAATGAAGAAAATGATCAATATAATCAGTTACCTTTGGCTTAAAAATATGAATCTTTTTTTTCTGCTATCTTTTAATTTTTATAACTGGTCATAAAAATTTTAAATTAATGATTAAATTTAAATTTGTAATTACTAATGTTTTTTATGAGAAATTTTCTTTTATCAATTCATCACACAAAAGGAGAACAAATTCGAATATGTGATTTTGTCAAACAATAAATATTGGGTGGCATTTTCACCTTTTTTGATAATTTGAACTATAATTTAAAATAAACTAAAAAATTTAAAAGATGACATATAACATTGCACTGTCTAATTATTTTTGTTAATTTAAGTTTGATTTTATGGTACTCTATAAATATTAGATAACTAGATGTAACTCAGTAAATACTAGAGTAAAATCAAATACCATAATTTTTATAATATTCTTAATCAATTGAATAATTTCAAAAATAATTCATATCCATCTGGCTAATAAAATATTTGTTGATATAATACGATTATTTTTTAATTCAGTATTCAATTGTGCTAATAGAATCAGTTGTTAACTTTGTACATACTGAATAATAATTATTCATTTGTCATAATGATATTTTTTATGACAATTCTACTTTAATTGTAAAAACCATTTAACCTTTTGATATTATTTAATAAGAGTTTATATATCAACTTTTACAACTTTAACAATTCCCTTATTAATTTTCGACTGGTCTATATAAACATTTCAATTTTAATGAATAAACTGTGTTAAAATTATTTAAGCAATTCAATTTTCATTTAAGTTACATATTGCCAATGCAAATTCCAAAGGAGAAAAATTGAGTGTTGTGAACAAATTAAGATTAAGTCTTTATTAGTTTTAGATATACATATTGAAAGATGATAAAAAATACCCTACTTACATGAAAATATACTAAAAATGGTCATAAGATTATTTTTAAATATCTAAACTATAAAACAAATACTCTAATTTGATGTCAAACACAATTATTTTATTCAAAAAGTAATAAAATGGTAAGTATACAAAAGTACATTAAAAAGATTAATCACATCCATAATTAGTAATTACATTACAATATTGTACATCATTAATTTAAAAATAATACAATTCTTAATCCTTAAAATTAAAAGGTTTCTTTTGAACACTCGTATACAACAAATATGATAAAGTGAACAATTTTCAAGAAATAAATAATTGATTTTTTTATACATTTTACATTTCAAGGATGCAAATAATTAACAATAATATAATGTCATCTAAAGACCATAAAACTTTACATTTTTATCATTAGTCATACAATCTAAATATTAACATAGAAAAAATATTTCAAAGTATAAAAACACAAAATAACCTTAGACCACTGACCTCCAAGATTATATAAAAAAATTGTGCATACTGTCATCAAATAACAAGTATGTGCGAATTAAGTATATTTGTAAAAAAAAAAACAATAAGTCATAACACCCATGGAATGTGGTATGAAGTCAATTTTTCACCTTATCCAAGCTATACAATGAAGAACATATTGAAGGAGTCACATCATCTTGATGGGCTAAGGGTGCAGTCCAACCACAGCGATTTACACGGATAGGCGTTTGAGGTGAGTAGCGTTGATTAAAGAGAGGAATGTCATATCTAAGGAAAATAAATAATATGTCATATAAATTTTGCACAGATTTATCATGAGAATTTATGATCTAACTTGTTATAGTAATCAGTGATACCAGACAAGGAATCAGTGAAGTTGGCCTCAAGTCAAGCATCCTCCCCTGATATAGGTGAAGTGCTTCCTGGTACATGTGTGCGAAGAGCAGCTACAGGTGGATTACTTGAACTAAGCATGTGTTCACTCTCATCATTACTATTTATTGAAAAATAAAAATAATATATCATTTAGAAAATTAAGTTTATTTTATAGAAATTAAACAAAACAAAAATCTTTAACATCTTTTAGCATAAATAGAAAATCACAATGTTTACATTAAAAAAAAAAATATGTTTTCAACATGAAAGTATATTAAAAATCACCAAAAACATTCAAAACAAATGTTAAAAATTACATTAAAAAATAATTATTAAAATTAAAAATAAAAAGATAAAAATAATTTTAAATATTTATTACAAGTATTTTAATCACATTAAATCATCATAACTTTGAATTGTTAATATATAAAAAATAAATAATTCTACTTAAATATTTAATGAAATATGTATTCATTGAATTTTACATACTTAAAAGAAATAATCATATTAACAATAATATTCAAATTAGTGCACTTACCCATCTTTATGATCATTTTCCATTAATTTCCTAGTTTCATCTTCTTCAATGATTGTTGGTGGAGCTTCAGATGTTGGTCCATACTGTGCAGATGCCATTAATAGATCAGTAGATGGATTAAGTGTTGAAGCCTGATAAATAAAATATAAAGATAGAAAAAAATAATATAAATTTGATTAAACCAACAATGATTTTAATTTATTACCTGTCCATTTGAAGTTTGTGCTTCCATTTGACGAGCCTTACTATTAAAGCATGGGCAACTTTCTTTGTCTTTGATGTATCGGAAATAGCCAATCAATAGAACTACACCAAAAACAAAGCAAAATGATCCAATGACCAAGAATGCTATATCTTCAGTATAGTTATCTTTGGTATCATCAGACCTCACAAAATTAGTAGTAATCGATAGGAATAAAAATACTCCAATTGCAATTAGAATCCAACTTATTAAAATGAATGACCAATGAAACCATTTGGGATTACGAATTTGATTCAAAATACGATTTAATAAACTATTAGGTGGTTGAGCCCACTCAGTTTGTTGTTCATAGCTAACAGTTGTTGGCTGGTAAACTGGACCAGATGCTGGCATTTTGATTAAAAAAAAAAAATAGAAACCTAAAGCAAAAAAATTAAAATTAAATTATTTTCACATGAACTAAAAATAATCAAAAGATTGAAAACGCACAATTTGAGATACAATACTATGATACTATATAAGATACAATACTATGATTTAAAGATAAATGATAGTCATAACAGATTTAGATTGCAACAACTTTCGATTAATAATCATCTACGAAATAAATCTAATAAATAAATCATCTACTCTATCAATAGGAAGCTAAATAAAATTGGTTAAAAAAACCTCTTGTATTATCTTTCAAATAACTGATAAAATTTTGGAAACATTAAGATTTGAAGACTTCTTTTTTTTTCCCCCGTAGAATATTAAAAAAATTATGTGATAAAATCAAACAGCGCCCAAAGAACAAGTAAATGGGTTCTTCAACACTTACTTGGGGATATAATATAGAAAGGTAAAAAATCGATGATAGTTCTTGTCGTTGAAAATTTAAGCGAATATCTCGACGTTCAATATCAACCTGACTGTTATATCATAATAGGGTTGAAAAGGAAATCGAATCGCACGTGAGTAACCGTAACAAGATCGAACAGATCGGTTTTACACTAGAAAATCGCCTTTCACTATTTTACTTTTGATTATTGTACAGGTATTGCCGTTCCGGATGACGACCGACGAGAACGAGATTCGAAACGAACCGCACGAGATGGCTGTTAGACGTTACTGCGATTGCGATATTATTCCTTTTTTGTCTATGTCAGTGATAATGCACGCCCGTGACTCGCTACAACAGTGTTGCCAACCTGGCAACCTTTTCGGTATCACTCACGTCATTGAATGTATCAGACGCGAGTACGCACACGATCAAACATAGCACGTTTATGCGTCATCCTGGCTGGTTTTGTCGGTAGTGTCATTACTCATACCCGCCGGTTTGACTGCACAATAGTCACCAGGTTTAACTGATCAACGGTAGGAGACCTTGTTGTCATTTGTTTTTATTCGACTGCGTTCGGTATGCAAATTCAATAGCAGGAAATCCTCTCATAATGGAGCCACCCACTCTTGTTAATGTCTACGTATGACCACGTTTGCGGTCGTTATTTATATAAACACAATCGGTTTAGTTATTTTATAAATCATGAAAAATTCAACTAGTACAGCGCATATACAAATGACAATGTTCAGATACAATAAAATAAATCAAAATTTAGCGTTCACATCGGTGACTAAATTTTTGTTTAACTAAACGCCTTAGATAATACGACTGATCGGATTTCATAGACAAAAATATTGTTGTTCGTTAGTGTAACTGTTGTGGTCCTAAATAATGACACTGTTACTCGAAAAAAGAGATAAACATACACTCATTTTCTTCCCGATCCGTCGATTAACATTTAGGTGACTGTCTTTTATAAAAAAATTTCTAGTAACGAGCACTTATTATTGTTAAGAATGTTAGTTAATTCGACTTAATTATATTTATACACTAATTCTGTCTCGAGAGTTTTTCCAAAAGCTGTACTAATTTTACTCATTCATGAGGTGAGGATTGTCTGAAGCAAATTCACGTTTAAGAATCTTAAATATAATTTGGTCAATTCATTGAAACTTCGAATTAAATTATTAAACTAGAAATAATTATTTATGACGTAATGAATTCGAATATAATTTTTAATCAGTAAACAAATATGTACTTTATGCAGGTAACATGAAATATATTGTGAACACGTCTTGGTGTAAATAATTGGTCTATAATTCTCTATACGATTAAAATGTAAAGATTACAACACATGTGTAATACTGACACTGTGTCTCGAATACAATTCGTTCTGTGTAGTATTCAATGAATACAGTTATATTTTTGACACCATTTACTTTACATAAGGAATCTTCATTAATTATTTTAGGCGCAGGTTAACATCTGTTACCTATTATTTTGAGCTAAGGATTGCTTTTAAAAAAATCTAGTATTTTACGATATATTTAAAGGATATTTTTTACGACCGTAGAGCAACCGGTTTTTGTTGCCAACATATTTTTACAATATTTATATAAACGTTGTACATGAAATACCACAGTTAAAGCAAGTTCTTTAAAAATGAAAAAGTACCAGTTCGATTTGATTATCAAAGATACTTCTTTTTAGGTATACCTTTTAGTACTCATCAAATAGCTTTTTTCGCTTAAAGTAGCAGACAATAAAAAAAACTTTTCACGTGTAACAAAAAAAAAAAAAAAAAAA